CACTCACACTCATCTCACTTGAATACTCTCACCCTCACTCACACTCTCACTCTCACTCACATCTCTCTCCTGAGATCTCCAACTTCAATCGTCACTAACATCCCTTGCAGTCTTCGCCTGGTACCTGAACCACTCCATCCCCGCCACCCCCATAAACCCGACCGCAAGCACCGTCAACGCCCTCGGAAAAGACCATCCGGCCCTCCCCAACCTCACGGCCCTGCCTCACCCCAAGGACACCGCCGTCTCCATCATCACCCCGCCGCCCGCGACCCTCAAGGTCCTGCAAGAGGCGAAAGAGCTGGGCGTGCCTGCCGTATGGCTGCAGCCGGGCACCTTTGACGACGCGGTGCTCGAATACGCGCGCGGCGAGGGCGGCTTCGAGGCCGTCGTTGCCGGGTTCGGGGGCGGGACCCGCGGCGGGGAAGGATGGTGTGTTCTCGTTGACGGTGAGAGGGCGATGAAGGCTGCGGGGAAGCTATGATCGGCCTGGAGGTTTGTCCGATTGACTCGTGATATAAATCGTGGACCGTTCTAGAGTATGGGAATGGAGGGCCTGCTGAACGAGGGGTTCCTGAGATTAGATGCTGTTACGCGATGAATGAATACTAGTTTCCTACCAAAAAGGGTCACCAGCGACCCCAATGCGAGACTATAGAAGCAAACTACACTTGGGTTCTGTTGATCCATGTACTAGACTCTGCGCTCCAACGAGCCCTTCGTTCATCCTCCATGGATCCCCCATCGTGAGAGATGCCGCGTTGGCGATCTCGTGCCGAGATAGCTCCGTCCTGGTCCGTCTTTAAAGTTGTGACGGGCGCATCTTCTGCATCGTTTGGACCGGCATTCGCTGAAGGTCACACCACCCCTCCATCAACCGTCCAAATTCAAATCTCCAACCCTTCTGATGCATCGACAGGACGATCGCTCTTGGGATCTTGGGTTGCTTCATGGTACGGACACAACTGAGCTCGAGATCGAGTCGAGGGCTGTGCTGCCAAGTCTGGGGTAACGGGTAGCGTATAATGCCGGGGCCGCCGCATCTGCCGCCCTCCCCCTCCTTCTCTGCCCCCCGACAACGCCTCCCAATTGAGCCTCAAGTGATTCCATCATGACATGTACATTTATCGACTATAAGCCTCCACGCCAAGTTCCGTGTGTGGCCGGGTTGCATGGAGCACCAGCAAAGTCCAACTGTCAGGTCTCGGGGTGTTGAACAGTCTTCTCCTCAGACCAACTCAACCCATCTTTTCAGGTCCAGCATCCCATCTCTCCTCGACTCCCAACTTAACTTCTCAAACCCCTTTGTTCATTCTTACTGTCCTTTTCCGTCGCGCCGTGAGTTATGGGGCATCTCAACGAAGTAGGCAATAACTCTGAACATGCAATGATGGAACGCACACGCCTCATCCGCTACCCCGACGCTCCCCATCCCATTGACCCGTCACACCCCCTAGTCCATAGTAAGATAGCGACAAAGTGTGGTGAGGTGTAGAGCTTTCCCCGCAATACCTCTAGCCTGCCCCACACGAGCTGAAGCTTCCCTTCCCCCCTCGTCCTCCATCATAGGTCTCTTCCCCCAAAACTCAAACCAACTAAGCCCAGCTTCCCCTTTTCGGAATACTGAACGACTAAGGTACGCTCTTGAGTCTTGACTCTCGACGTGGTAGATCATGGATAGTACTGGGCCGGGGGAGGAAAGCAAACGACGGACGTAATTGCTAGGCGCTACTGCAAGACCGGTCAAATAAAACTGTTCTTCGCTCCCGTCAAGCCAAGGAGACTCGCGGCTATCATTCCTTATTCCCAGACTACATCCATGTGCCGCTCAATGCCGGAGTAGGTTGTGTGGTTGTGCCCCATCCACGCTATTCTGCATACCAGAGTCAGAAAACTTCCGTTCCCCCATGTCGTTCATTCGTCCGCCCGTTGATTCGTTGGTCTCCGTTGATATTTGCGGTTCCGCATCCTTGGCCCAGCTTTTGCCCAGGTCCTGCCATTGACGAACTCGTTCCGTTCCCACCCCCAACTTCCAACAAGCGCCGCCGCCGGTGGTTCTCCCTTGCCTCCACGCGAGATTGTTCGAGTAAGCCTCAACTGGGGCAAGGTAAGTTATTGACTCGGTCAGAGCCTTAGACATACATGCCCCAGAGGATGTTCCATCCGTCCAGCAGTGGAAACGCCCCAAACCTCAAACTCTCAGTTCTGCATCCGCGCGAACCCTTGACGACTCACCAGTGTGATGTGACGGGAGCTCTGGCAGGCGTGGCAGGCGTGGCAGGTCTTGCCGTTTCCTCTTCTCCTCAGCCCCAAATGTGTTCAACTGAGACATTGACGGGTTGACTCTTCCCAGACCGCGTGCCTTCACACCCTCACCTGGGGAAAGGAGACGGCAAGAAAGAGAGACGTTGTTGGTCCAAGACAGGACGCAACGCTCCATGAAAAGCAAGCAAGCATCTTGCCTTCTGCCCCCAGCTTTCTGCCAAAACCATGTTCAAAACCCCAAACGTGCTGTACCCCCCAATCCGATATTCTCTCCAATGGTCTACCTCCGTACGGATACCTCGTTCGAACCATGCTTCCTGCGGCAGCGAGCTTCCAACGAATCATCCTCGTAGATCCTGCACTATGCCCACCCTCCAGATTGCAGCAACCCATCCATCCCTTGTCCCGAATCCTGGGGTATCCGTCTGCCGGTCGTCCTAGCCCCAAAGTGGGTTCGGTCGATGTGGAGGAGCCTCTTGCCTTCTTGCCCACTTGGCCTCCTCACGGACACGTTTGTGTCGTCGGTCGTCGGTCGTTGAGAAAGATCTACCACTAAATAACCCAGTCGTGGTCCTCGCAAACCCCGGTATTCCGTTTTGACGTGTGGATGACCAGGGGGGTTGGGGGGAGAGGAGGGGAGGGGGCGTGTGAGAGTGGTGATGATGGGAAAAGACTATCCGACTCAACCGTCCTGCCAGCAGGGCTCCCAAGGTGCCAAGATGGCCCCGGTCCGTTGCTAAAACCCCCCAGTCTTTGCTTTTTTACGTCTTGGAAACGCTCTTTAGGGTGTGGATGAGAGACACTGGGAGAGAACGCGAGAGATTGAAAGGAGATGTGTGTGTGGAGGACTAGACCCGTTACGGCCGGCCTGGACCTTTATACATCTAATGGCCCAGTTCCCTCCTCTCGAAACATCATCTGCGTTCAGTCTTGGTTGTCATTCTTGTCATCTCTTATTTCCTCCGTTCATCCAAAGAACATATAGTACCATTTGTATCATTATCCCTCTCCTCAATCGCTCAGTCAGTTCCTTTGATACCCATCTACCTACCTAATCAACCACCACCCACATACGGAAACAAAGCACCACCTTCGCAATGGATAACAAGGAAGACATCCACGAAGTCAACTCCCACTCCCACCACAACGAGCACCGCCGTCCCTCGGACCCCCACCAGCGTGTCGACAGCCACCACCGTCGTGTGCCTAACGGCGGCGGCTACAATGGCGAGTATCCAGAGGACGAGTACATGGCGCCCCATGTGAGCCGCGACGACGCACTCAGGAGGATGAAGACGGCCGGATCGATTTCCATGTCGCCTGAGCTATTCGAGAAGCTGTATCTGTCGCCGCAGAATAACGTAAAGGGGGATCTGCGCAAGACCTTTGGTAACCCGACTCCGATGTAAGATAATCTAATACCTTGGTCCATGAAGATTGGTGAAGGCGTGTTGGCTAACACTTATACAGCGCCATTGTTGGATTCCTCATCTCATTGACGCCTCTTGCTTGTGACTTGATGGGTTGGAGAGGAGCAGGCGGAAGCGGTGCGGCAGGCATGTAAGTCATCCTACAACACTCCCTTCTCATCAAGACGCCTCTCAAACTCACTCGTCTTCCTTCACAGCGGCTCATACTTCTTCTTCGGCGGTCTCCTCATGTTCGTAGGCGGCCTCCTCGAATGGGTTCTCGGCAACACCTTCCCCTCCGTCGTCTTCCTTACCTTCTCCTCGTTCTGGTTCACCTTTGGTGCGACGCTGAACCCTTCCTTTGCCGCCTTCTCGTCATATGCTCCCGCGAACGCGACGTCTGGGGCCGAGGGGTTGACGACGCAAGGTTTCAATGCTAGTTTCGGTCAGTCACTCACTACCTCTTACCCTTCTCCCATATCACTTTGGATTCAAACTGACACGGTGTCAATGAATAGGCTTCATCACCCTCGCAATGGGTATGATCTGCGTTGTCTTCCTCATCTGCTCGCTCCGCACCAATATCGTCTTCTTCCTCATCTTCTTGACGCTCGTTGCTGCTTTCGGATTGATTACGGCCGCGTATTGGTTCCTTGCCATGGACTACGCTAGCAATGCTGCCTACGCCGCAAAACTGCTCCAGGTAAGTGATGAGGGTGTGAGATGTGTGAGGATGTGAACCAGTACTGATTCCATCTTTGCAGGCTGCCGGTGCTTGCGCCTTCGTGACTTGCGCCGCTGGTTGGTGGCTCATCTTCGCCATCCTCTTGGCTTCGCTCGACTTCCCCTTGGAGCTTCCTGTTGGAGACCTGAGCAGAGTGATTCGGGGCAAGAGTGAAAAGAGCCAAGTTTGAAGGATCTTGCGCAAAATTATGGCAAGAATCGCTTCAGGATGTATGGGTGCTGGCGCAGGAGAGCAAAGTTGTGTTAGTCTATGAAGTTATCTTGTCGTCAATATCTAAACATGGAGGATGACGGAGGCCACACTCTGATGTTTTGAGTCACATGTGATACAATTTTCACGCGTGGAACAGCTGTAGTAATGCATACCAAATATTGTATTGGTGCTAGAAGTTCACTTTGTCAGTTTCCAGTTCCCTCGTCTTGACTTTATGCGTAACGAAGACTGTAATTTATGTCTAGCGCTCTCCGCATTCTTCAGAACGACCCAGAAATGAATCCAAACGCAACATCAGGGATTTTCTGAATGGTCGTAAGCAAATCTCCGCTTCATGTAATCCTCGTCCTCGTTGCTTGATGCTGAGCCTAGTCTTCCCATCCCTCGGCTGCCGGTTCGTTAGGACCCTCACTCAACTCTCTCCAGTAGCTGTGGGGAATCTCGTCGAGCAAGTCCAGTCCCAGTTCAGGCGTGCTTCTTCGTAGTGCCTTGAACCTCGTACCGGTATCGATCCAAGTCATGTTGGCGAGGAAGTACTGCGAGATAAGCCTCCGTAATGAGTCCCCATGGACTGTCCATGAATAGATGATAGGCACGGATTCGAAAAGGATGGTCTTTAGTTGGAAGGTCCCGGGACACTCCGATAGGAAATGTCGGATCCTAGCCAGGCATATCTCCTTGAGATCTTCGATGGTGTACTTGTCAGCAAGAAAGTAAAGCTGGACGTGGTGCATGTACATTGGCCTCAGGTGTTCAACATCCCGACAAGCCTTCTCGAACGCCTCAATGCCGGTAAACTTCCTCAGAATAGACTGAGTCTGGTCCGTGGGCGATGGCTTCTCATCGCGGCCCTCCCCATAGAAAAACTTGTCATTTACAAAGTGGTGTTGTGAGCCTCTGTGTTCGGTAGCCCAGAAGTATCCCTGCATTGAACGGGGCAAGTTCTTGGGGGCGTCGCCTTCTTCAGGAGCCTCATTCTCCTCAGAAAATGTAGGCGCAGCTTTGGATTCCGGCAGTGAGTAGTCACCTCGGTAGGCGTATTGTGTCAGCAGGACGAAAGTGATAGGGTCAGTATCGTCCCAGATGACCTTGCCCTCCCTGGACTCTTGAAAGCCTCCCGTCAGGAGGGCGCGTAGGGGCAGCGAAAGATTGGCGAAGGGGGCTTCATGAACGGTGTATTCTTTCTTCTCCGGACCGACGATGAACTTGATGTGCCTGGACTGCATTGCTCTTGGCCATATGTCAGCAAGACTAGATTGAAGCGGGAGGTGGTGGGGTTGCATGTACTCATCCAAGTCCTCGAACGTGTCGAATCGTTTCCGTTTGCCAGGCATATCTGCGATGCGAGGTGTACTTCGCAATTCTGATTGGCGTTTGCGAAGGATACTTGATAAATTTGGCGAGTATGAGATAGGAATAGTAATGATCTATTTTTGCTCAAGAAGCCTCCTGCTGCACAAAGGCTGCTGGCCGGGAGTTCAGGTTGGCGAGTGGAGGTTTGCAATAGGAGGGTGCAGTGTGGGCGTGGCTGGACGATTTGAAATCTTGATTTCGGCTCCTTCTCTTTTGAGAGGCGAAAAAAGATGACTGGGTCAATAGAAGCTACCGTGGGTGAAAAACCTCAGTAGCTCCTTCTTAGATGTCTTCCATTGCGGAATACAACTAATAACATCAAATTACCAAGCAAGGCAGTACGATGCCCATTGGACTTAATCCACTCCTGTCGATAACACTGGTAACATCCAAAAATCTTTTCAAAGCCCAAGATCTCAGAATTTGACCTAATGTTGCTACTTAAGACCTTTGACTTTCAAGGTGCGAAGCTTTACCTTGCCTTGGCCCTTCAAAGAGGAAGTACTCGATTGTTCGATTGTCAAGGACATGGCTCGCTTTACCTGGAGCGATCAGACAAAGAAGGGCCTTGCAGCTGGTATTTGGCTGATAATTATTTTCGCAAAAGAATATTCCATAAAAGGCTTCCTTCAAGAAGATATTTTTTTCTTGTTTTACTACTCCGATAAATGCAACGGGCCGGCCTGCATCAGTCTTTGTTGTTAAACGCCCTCCTGAGGGAATATTACTCTACAAATACTCCCTGAACCTCTTACTCGGATGATTACTGAACATTTTCGACGCCGCAGGTAAGACTCGGCCGAGAAGCTTCGGTTTCCACAGCCGATTCAGGTAAACGTCCGTGCCTGCGGTGACATGCCGGCGTTCGGATCTGCCCCACAGATCTACGAACGGTGGAAGTCAAGTCCGTTAATATAGAATGGCGGGGGGAGTGCGTGGCATCGCCGAGAGCCGCAAAATGTCGACGTTCCCACACGGCCGACTTGCCGGAAAGTCAGGAGAACCCCCTGATTCATCATGTATATAAATCGTCTTTGTCGTCAAGGATTCAAGACCCGGCAGCTCACTACTGACGACACTTATTCTTGGTCATATCTTCAGCTATGTCTCTCCTCGCTAAGACCGTTGTCATTGCTAGCACTTTGCCTGCTCTCGTGCAAGGCAGCAAGATCTCTCTGGCTAGCCGACAGACCCTCAACACCACTTGCGCTGACATCCACTACTTTGAAGCCCGAGGCACAACTTTGTCGTATCCCGGAAGCTTGATCACGGTCATTGACCCGCTCATGGAGGCCTTTCCTAACAGCAATTACGAGGATATTGTTTACCCAGCCACGGACGAGTCTGGGAGTGACAGCTACTTTGTTGGAGTTCGCGATGGCGCCAAGCAGATCATCTCTTATGCAGAGGCTTGCCCCGAATCCAAGATCGTCTTGATGGGATATTCTCAGGGCGCCATGGTTCTTGGAGATATCTTGGCTGGCGGTGGTGATGGCAATGTCCTGGGCAACTACACCAAGCCTCTGGTTGATGCTCGCACTGTTGGAGACCACAGTAAGGCTAACTATAGATTTTGGGTTGAGAGTTACCTGCTGACATCGTTTTCCAGTCGCGGCGATCTTGCTGTACGGCAACCCCCGACACATGCCGAATCAGACCTACAATGTTGGCAACGCTTCTATGTTTGGTGCCACCGGCGTAAGTTTCAACCTCGTTGGAAAAAGCTTTGAATGGTTATCGTGACTAACGCTGTCCACAGAAATATCCTCGTACCGCTGGACAACTTGCCTCCTTCAACGTTTACGCCGACAGAGTCCACGACTACTGTAACTACCAGGACGGAGTATGCGATGCCAGCGGGAGTAATCTCACCGCGCACATGGCGTATCCTTCGGACTACGACACCCAGGCAATTGCTTGGCTGAATTCTAAACTTAACGCAAACTGAATATTATCTTGGACATTGCAGAAATCTCCTCGCACAGGTGGTTCGCGCGGTGGATGCCTAAAGTAAGCCACCAATTACCAAAAGAAGAAGTCTGCCAGTAATGGTTCCGATCCTTGGAACATGAACACATGACCATCAATGATCCGTTCTTGGCTATAGGCAGTGACAAACTACCTTAGAGTTATAGAGACTACGTAGATACCTTGTCCAACATGGCCCAGTGCCACAAATGCCTACCTTAGGTGTTACCTATATTACCTCATGGTCAAGGCACTTTCTTCCCTCCTGTTCTGTTCTTTGAACTACTGGTCTACGTTGTGCAAAGTTCAACCGAGATCCTCCTAGTTTGCCTGTCTTCTATGGTCTATGAATTACTGTGAATTTCCTGAATGTTGGAGAACCCACCTTGGAAGGAAGGCAAACCCCAGAGAGCCCTACGTTCCTTCCATACCTGGACATGGAATCTTAACCATCACCGCCTTCCATAGAAAGTTTTCCTCTCCCACAGTTCTTTCACTCCAGCGATTTCGCAGCAAAGCTTTGCCTCTGCAGCAACACTATTCCTCGCGATGTCTCTGAAGCGCAAGCGAGACATGAGCCAGTAAGAAACCCTTCAATCCACGTCTCTATTAAGTCAAACTCACGTGAGACTGCAGGATCTTTCGGTCTGGGGCCCTTACATTCATGATCGGCAAAGATCGGATCAGACATACAGGCCACGAAGTTGTCTTCCTTGGCTTATCCCCATCTTTCGACAACTTGATCAGACAGGGAACCGTTGTTCGAGTTGTCCGATTCAACCGCGTCGTCAACAGAAAAATCTCATCTCTCGTGACCTGGCCTGACATTGAGCCAGCTACTTTTGTCAACTTGACGGAGTATGCCTATTCCCGCGACTACACGGCGCCTGCCCTGTCGCAGTCCAATCAGAACGTCACTTCCAACGCGGTTGAGGGAAAGCATGGTAGTAATGATATGCCTGGTCCCGGGAGCGATGCCGGCACCATATACGCAGCCGGGATTGCGAGAACCTCGACAGCGGAGAACAGTTCCCAAGTCGAATTGCAGCGCCGCAAACCAAGTGATGGACAGAACACGCAGCAGGCTGAGATTCCGTCATTATATATGTGGATGAGGAGTGTTTCGCGAGATTCACAGTCTCAGCAGCCTACGAGTGCTCGGTACAAATTCTGCGAGAAGCTTTTCCCAATTCCCTCCGAAGCCGCCCAAGCGACAACTGAAGACTGACTAGATGACGTCAAGCAACAACATCGGACCGGCTATAAGGAAGTATTCCTCGCACACGCCAAGCTTTATCTGGTTGCAAACAAGTTCTCCATTACTGAACTCAAGAGACTTTGCCTGCACAAACTTCGCCAAAGCCTGCTACATGCTCCCCGCACCGACGAGATGCTGCGGGCCACAACCGACACTATCCGGCACGTTTACTTGAATGTCCAATCTCGAGACGACGATCTCAGAAAATTGCTTGTGCATTTCTGCCTGACCGACACGCAGTGGATGATGAGAAACAACAACCTGGACCCAGTGCTGGAGAGTGTTCCAGGCTTCGCCATTGATCTATTCCGCGAGATCTCCCATGCTTACTGGACATAGCTCAGAGATGGAGGACCTGTCTGAGATATGGGTGCATGAAGAAGGTAAATTGGGTGATACATTGGTACAATGGCGACAAATGCGTTGTCGATGGTCTCCTACTGTCCTAATGAGATTTTCTTCATTGGCCATGGCCGGAAACCTGCGAGGCAAAATCAGTCACCCTGGACAAAGCTCGTTTTCCGGGCGAGGGTATCTTGGGAAAAGATACGGGATGAAGATTAATACGGAGAATTTCCAGATCCGAACGACACATCCAATACAAATCGTACTTAACTACTAGTAAGCTTTCTAGTGCAACGTCTAAAGCGCAACAGTGATGTGGGAGTTGATGACTAACACAGTGTGGCTGAGGGGCATGTCACAAAACTGACAGGGCAAGATTGAGCCACACCCCGCCGGACCCACCAGCTAGCAACGGAAACAGAGGTTGAATGTAAACAAACGCGATCGGGATGGCCAATACGGTTTGGTGTCTGCCGCACCACACTCCAATCTTTTGATTTGCTCAACGCTAATCCTGTTGCTACACTCCCGCAACCGACGATTGAAAAACATTGCTCCCCTCGATATTTTCTTTCGACCATTCCTACTCTTCGAAGACCGACGCGACCACAGCTCAACCTCTTGTGACCCGATGCATTCTAGCCGCGAATAATATTTCCTCCCTGCGATCGACGCGTCCGTTCTGTACATATCTCTCTCGCGCAGCTGTTCGCGATCCGGATCGCGACCAGCTTTACTTTGCACGAATCCCGAGCTTCACTGGTGCTACAACGCCCAGAGATAGCCCAGAATGACAGAGAACTTGGCCTTTGAGGGTTTAGTCCCGAATGAATACTTCACACAGGATGGCCGCTTGGGCTCCTTTCATCAAGTCTACCCTGCACCAAAGCGCCGTCAATCAGGCGCGACCAAAGGCGGCAAAAACCTCACATGGCCGCACATGAAATACTTGCTGCCAGAAGATGTAAGCCTGCAGTCGGAAGAGCTTAGCAGAAGATGACGCGTGTGCTAACTTGCCGCAGCTCGCGAAAGCCGGTTTCGTTTGGCGGCCGTTTCCCGAAAACCCCGATAACGTCGCATGCTTCCTGTGCAACAAATCTCTGGATGGCTGGGAAGAGGGTGATAAGCCCCTCGAAGAGCACTTGAAGCACTCTCCCGAATGCGGATGGGCCATTGTCGCGGGTATCGAAGCGAACCTCAACGGTCTGTCGTCAGAGGACCCTTCTAGTACTCGAATGATCGCGGCCAGAAAGGCGACTTTTGATGGACGTTGGCCACACGAGGGAAAAAGGGGCTGGAAGAACAAGATCAAACAGGTCAGTCATGGAACTTCGACCTTACCTTCCTCTACTAACTAGTTCTTAGCTTGCCGAAGCAGGATGGAAATACACGCCTTCCCTCGAGTACAATGATATGGCAACCTGCACCTACTGCGAGCTTGCTCTGGACGGTTGGGAACAAAACGACAAGCCCATGTACGTCCCCTGAGTGTTGCGTTCGCAAGCATTATCTGACCCAATTACAGGGACGAACACTTCAACCGATCCCCCAACTGCCCGTACTTCGCTTTAGTAAATCAATACGCTTCCACGAGAAAGCCGAAGGGCAAGGCCGCCCGAGGCTCAAAGAACACGTCGAGACTATCCGTACAGTCAGTCGCGACATCGATTTCCGATATCACATCCATAACAGACGTCCCTGCGGAGTTCGATGACAGTGTCTTGACAACGACCTCCACAATGGGCGGCAAGAAAGGCACCCGTGCCAAGAAGGCCACCACGACAAAAGGCAGAAAGACCAAGGCAAAGAAGGATGAGCCTGTAGAAGTTGTCGAGGATGAGGCCATGCCGGAAGAAGACATTGGGCTACCCCCATCGAAACCTACCCGAGGGCGCAAGCGCACGAGCGACGACGTGGATGATTCGGCGCTCACAGTCTCTGAGGCACCTGCACCAAAGAAGCGTGGAGGACGCGGTCGGCCCAAAGCTGCCGCTGACAGCTCGACCATCGATCAATCACAACAGGACATCAGCATTGCGGATGCGCCGCCGCCGACGAAGGCACCAAAAGGCCGCAAGACTGCACGTGCGTCTGGAACGAAGGGAACACGGAAAGCCTCGGGGACCTCACAAAGGTCAAACGCATCAATGGCGTCCCTGCGAACTGCACCTGGCGCATTCCCCGAGGATGACGATGAGATTACCAGGCAGCTTGAGGCTGACCTGGAGCGTCCGCTGACGGACGATGAAGATATCATGCAAGATTCCGATTCGGAACGAAAGAAAGCTCCTGCCCCCAAGGCAAAGTCAAAGAAGAACCAATCGGACAAGGAGTCTGGTGTCAGCCCTGAGCCGTCAGACAACCACGAGATGTTCGACGCGGAACCGTACGTGGCAGACGAAAAGGATGTTGACGACGAATTGAAGCAACTGGAGGCCGAAATGACTATCGATGAGCCTGAGATTCTGGAAGTTCCCAAAAAGGGGCGCAAGGCTGCAGCTCCCCGCAAGGTGTCTAAGCAGACCAAGGCTCAGAAGGCCAAGGCCGCGAAAGTGGTCGTCGAAGAAGACGAGCTAGTGTTTCCAGCAGAGCCCAGCCGCCTCGAACAGCCTGCTGATATTGAAGAGGATGAGATCAGCACTGCCACGGTGATCACGACAAAGCCTGCTCGCGCAAGCACTGGGAGGAAACGGGGACGCCCTTCAAAGGCGTCATTGGCGGCGCGTGCATCTATGGAAAGCGCTGGCAAGGTTGAAGAGATAGAAGCTATCGGGCCGGAGGCTGCAGCCGCTACTGCTGAAGTCGAGCCGGAACCTGAAGCCCAGGCTGAGCCTGAAGCTGACATCGAGACTGAAGCCGAGGACACGTCAGCGCGTCAGTCTTTTGCTTCGGCACGGCAAACGCCCGCACCAGTGGAGCCTCAAGACGAGCCTGAAGAGGAACACGAGGAGCTGGAGGAACCAGAGCAAGAGCTCCCCGATGAGCTTGCAGACGAGCCGGAAGAGGAAGAAGAGTCCGAGTTGGAGCAAGTAGACGAGCTTGGGCCTGAGCCTGAGTCTGAGGCACCTGAGCCCACACCAAGGAGCGCACTGAAGACGAGCTCCCCGCCACCGCTATCATCGCCTGTTCTCACCTCATCTGCTCGCCGTAGTGTGCAACATCAATCAGGTACTCCACGTATCTCTCCTGCCCAGTCAGCTCGCCAAGCGGCTGTTTCGCCCTCGCCATCTCCGCAGTCTTCAGATGCCGAGAACCAGCCTCCGTCTTCAAGACCTTCCACAACTCAAAAGCGGGTGACACATGCGCCTATTTCATCAACCCCAGCAAGACCTAACTCGCCAACCAAGCGCAAGGCTTTGGCAAGTCTCCAAAGCACCACGCCCTGGAACCCCGTTGATATTGACCTCGTCTTCGGATCCCCTGAAAAGTCGGACAAGAGGAACCCAGTCGACAGGCTCCTTCATAAAGGCAGCGAGCTGACAAGCCCTGAGATGCGCATGACAGTGGAGGAGTGGATTCATCACAACGCCAATCAGGCTGAGTCGAAGCTGCGACAAGAGTGCGAGGCTATGGTTAGCAGGTTCGAGAGCGAGGGGAGCAAGGCAATGAACGTCTTGGAGGGCTTGATTATAGACTGAGTGTTTGCATAGCGTAGTTTCGTTGGGAGCACCATTCAAGGGTTAATGATTGGACTATGATCATGATACAACAACAGACAACTAGTGTGTGCGCTTATCAACAGGCCCAGTCGGCCGTTGGTAATTGGATCGGTCCAAGGCAGCAAGGTTGAATAATGACACTTTCGACCGCGTTGGGAACAGAAGAGGTAATGATTGGCTCTTGAGCATTTGCACACAAAAGGAGAACTGCAAAGGGGAAGCGTATTGTTCTGACAGGCAATTGTCATTATTATTATTGATTTTTAAATAATGAGGGTGTTTGATCTAATCTATGTTCATTAAGAAATCCCCTCTTGAAATTTGTTGTTTGGAATGTTTCCTCATTCGTCTAATTCATGATCCCAGTGGTATCGTTTCCGGCATGTCAATGTTTCATTACTTGCTCGCTGCACCCACTACTGTCCTTCACTTCGTTTTGATGTTGTTTCTTCTTCAACACTATCGTGTCGTCATCTCCATGATGAGCATGATCTAGGTGCAGTGCTGAACGCCGTCAGCGTGAGTGTGGCACTCCTGAGGAGCGCTGGAGGTCGCAGCGGCAGTGGTGGTAGCGGCGCCAGCAGCAGCGGTAGTGGTAGGCGTGGCATCGTGATCGTGGTCCTCCTCCTCAAGCTCGCCGGGGCATCCGACGCCAGGAGCAGCGATGTCGTAGGCCCAGACGTCAATGGCGAAGTACTGCAGCGCGTCGCTGTCAAAGACGGAGTAGGTGGCGTTGTTCTTTGCGAGCTCGAGGGCCTCGGCGTAGTCTTCGGCGTAGTGCTCGACGGCGCCCTCGGAGATGAGAGGAACGTGGAAGACGCGGTGGAGGAGGTCGGTGGCCCAGAAGGTGTTGAGTTTGGAGTTGGCGACGTTGTAGCCCAGGCCGCAGACGGAAGTCAGGGGGCGGCGGATTTCAAAGGAGAGAGGGCAGATGACGGTCTCCTGGGAGGCGTTGGCGCCGCGCCAGTGGCCTGCCCAGCCGGACTGGGTGGCGCAGTTGCGGTCCGGGTCGTCGCAGCGGAAGGTCATGCCGTTCTTGTCTGCGTTGACGACGCGGTCGTACCAGCCGACGGGGGTGGCGGTGGACGAGTTGCCAAAGTACTTGCGGACGTGCTCGGAGCTGTTGCCGAAGCGGAGGATGTGGTCGCGGGCGTGGGCGGCGAGCTGCTGGGCCTCGGCGAGGCCGACCTCGAGCTGGGCGCGGAGGGTCGAGTTGCAGGACTGGTGGATGGGGAAGGTCTTTTGCCAGCCGGCGGACCAGTCGTAGGGGGCTTGCGGGGTTGAGGCCGGGGCCGCGGGGACGGAGACGGTCTCGGAGGTGGAGGAGGACGCCTG